TATATACATCTACTTTATATGCAATTAAATTCACGATAGATTTTAGAAAAACTTGTATTTTATTATGAGAAAATATATTCATTGTTTTTTTTTATTATGTAGAATGTCATAGAGATGTTGATAGTGATATTCAACTTAGAGTATACGCACACTTGCCCGCCGGACAGATACCCGCGGGACAGTTGCCCGTAGGACACTTGCCCGTGGAGGACACATGCCCGCAGCGGACACTTGCCCGCGGGACAGTTGCCGGCATGACACTTACCCGCAAAATAAATTCGCACTACTATTCTTCGAAACAAAGGGGACTAATTTCATTGCTTTCAAAATCTTATTCATTTTATCAACTCAGTTATATATACAAGTAAGGTTCATCGACATTGAAAGTCGATTCACTGAGCCCTAGACTGACGGAATGATGACACATATGTCCTTATGTTTTTTAATGAAAATAAATTCTGTTCAATAATGTGTTTAGGACAAATCATTGATATTTGCAAAATGTTGTATATTACTTATTAAAGATATATTCAAACAGTTGCATAAAATATTGCAAGATGCCAATGTATATGATACAGCATATGAGTTAGTTGATTCTAAGGACTAGCAATGGTTATTTATCCCATAGCACTGGTAATTTCTAATACGCATCTAGCTAGTGGTGATGGAGACACGCTCATTCCGCAGATAAGAATGATCAACTGTGCCACAGAAATGGTTGATTGTTACGTAGAAACTGAGCTGAGCCACAAGAATGGTCAATTATGCCAAAATAAATGGTCAGTTTTACCACGACTCACGATACTTTGCACTATGGCAACAGTCACTTGTACCATGATTATGGCACTTTGTATCACAAGAATGCTCATTTGTACCACGAAAACAGCCATTTGTGCCATCAAAATGGTGATTTGTGCCACAGAAATGGTCATGTGTACCACTGAAATGGTCATTTGTGCCATGGAAATGGTCATTTGTGCCATGGAAATGGTCATTTGTGCCATAAAAATGGTCATTT